ATTTTCCGCTCCGCGACATTCATTAGTAAAAACCTGCTCTCGCCAGCACTGTTGCGCCATGTTACTTCGTGACTCAAGCAATGTATCGCCACCACCCTCGTCCCTCGCCTTTTCACTTTAGCATGAGTCTGTGTATGAGGACAAAATATGAGCGCGGCATGCACGGCAAAGCGGCCGTTGTGCGCCGTATGAGTCCTGACGTGAGGCCCGCTCTGCATATATTGTCCAAACAATCTTGAACTTGTTCCATCCCGATTTCAACTGGCAGATATCAAAATATGAATCAAACACAAACTTGTTAACCATACGATAATAAACAGTGTGCGCAAAGCGGTTTCGAGCTGTTATCCTTCAAATTTATGATTAATGCGGCGTTAGATACGGCAGCATATTGTAACTGTGGATACGCAAAAACCCTTTCCAACGTTGGAAGCTTACCTGTCTCATTCGTCCGCCACGTCCGCCTCCGCCAATATTACGATTATGGCCTGGTGAGCGACTTGCGCTGCTGCTAGTGTTCGTTGTATTCTTCTTGAAATGGCGACTATAACCATTATCATCTTGTTGTCCATCCGATGTGCGGTCAGTGACGGCTTCAGGATTTTCGACAACGGTTACCTGTCAAGAAGACAAAGATAAGTTAAATCACAGTTTATAACAATCGTAATGCCTCTGTTCAATTAGCGCAAAGTCGCCTTGTGAGTGCCTCGAGCGGCTGCACTGGCTTCAGACTGATCATCGGCCTCATCGATTGAAAGCGGGAGGAGAGGCGCTCGCGCTGTGGATGCGAAGCGAACGCAGAGGGACACCCCATGGGATAGAATGTAGAAGATAGATAAATTAACACCGAACCTGTTCCTCTTCATCAGACTGTGTCGATGCGACACTCAATGAATCAGTTTCCATGCTGATCGATGCGAAATGCGTTTGATTGCCTGTGTGGGTAAGTAGTGTCAGATATTGAAGTGTTCAGCTCAGCTGAAACATTGCAACTCTAAGATACAATATGACACAGCCAAAACTGAAGTCAGCTAAGAGTTGAAAGAATAGCCGAAGCGACCAACCGTGGTGGTATTGCGAATGAGTGATGCTCGAGTAGTAAAACCGTCCACGTGGTGATTGAGCTTATCATCATCTCGTTTGCACCTGTGGAAGGAACTTCATGTTTTATCATTTTCATCATAATTTTACATGTCGGTAACATTCATTTTCAAAAACATTAGTAATGAACAGTTTCTAGAAACTTTCAAGAGAAATCTAGGACA